AAGAAGGGGGGAGGGAGGAAGGGAGGGAGGGAGGGAGGGAAGGAAGGAGATAATACTGGTCATCTTTTCCTGTTACATCTTTGAAGGTTTGTGTCTTAAATTTTATTTATTATTAAATTTTATGTATTATTATATGGCATATGTGAGGACATCAGAGGACACCTTTGTGGAGTCCATCCTTTTACCTTTTTATGTGATTTGGGGGGATCTGACTCAGGTTGTCAGGCGAGGCAAGCACTTTCACCTGCTGAGCCACTGGTCATCTTTTCCTGTTACATCTTTGAAGGTTTGTGTCTTAAATTTTATTTATTATTAAATTTTATGTATTATTATATGGCATATGTGAGGACATCAGAGGACACCTTTGTGGAGTCCATCCTTTTACCTTTTTATGTGATTTGGGGGGATCTGACTCAGGTTGTCAGGCGAGGCAAGCACTTTCACCTGCTGAGCCATCTTTCTAGCACACACATCTTCAGTTTTAAGGTTAGGCCTATGCTTCTGTTGGTCATTGGTTGGAAGACCTGTCCCTCATGGCAACAAGGTTGGCAATCCAAAGACTCCCAGCCCTGGCACATACACATGCACCCAGATTTACCCTCTGACTATGAAGCCCCCAGAAAATAAATGCTTCTAGGGACAAATTTGTCATTCTCAGAGAAAGCAGAGAGAGCAAACAGAAGGCTCCCTATCAGGCTTGAAAAGAGAACCAGCTAGGAGAGAGGGGCCTCTGGTGATGCCATGCAGGAAGCTGTAGATGGAGCTGGGCTTCCCTTCCTGGAAGTGGGCCTAGCAGCTTTTTAAGGAGCCTGAATGGTCATCATCTGAAAGGAGGACTCGGTATCCTATGAGAACCAAGGATAGCTCTAGGACCAATAGGAGAAAGCTGGTCAAATGGATGTAGAATTAGCCCTGGCTTCCTGAAGCGTGAAAGTTCTGCTCCTCCAAGTGGTGGTTAAGGAAGCTGGCAGTTCATGGTTCTGGAAAGAACTTGTACCCACCATCTCCTTACAGCGAGTGGGTTAGGTGACACCCTGCTCCTGCTGGGGCCAAGTTCTAGTCCCAGAGCTATGTAGCTATGACCTTGTTCAGAGGACCTATGGGTCCTTGGCTTCTGACATCTTACTGCTCTCCCTGCCAGGTCCTCATTCCTACCACCCGATGCAACGCCCACAAGGAGAACATCCGAGGCCAGCTGAAGGTCCGCAGCCCTGGCATCTACTTGCTTATCTTTGACAACACCTTTTCCAGGTAGGCATCTCATGTGGTCTCTGGCATCTGTGTGGATCCACCCATCTCCATGCATCATCACCACCTATTCTCCAGGACAGAGGCAGACACAATCAAGACTTGGTTGTCAACATTTTTTGTTAGTGATTCTGTGATTTAGATTTCTCTGCTCTATTCCAATGCTTGTGGTAGGTTTTATAAAGCAGGCCTGCACTTACAGGGTCTTCTACCTGCTGGCCACTCATTTCAGCCCCACAGCTTCCCCTGTTCTAGGTACTGCTGAAGGTACTAAGGACTGGAGAGTGAAAGAGTGACACTACAGGTCAATAGCCATCAGGGAAGCCAGACCTGAACCAGCGCCCAGCTCTAGGCTGGACTTACCCTGGTTGTGTTCATCTCTCCCAGGACAAGTCCCACTGCTAGGCCATAGAAGGAGCTTGGGAAATCCGGGGGAAAAGCCGAGAGCACATGAATGAGAAGGGAAAACTGAAGTGGAGGAAGAAGACCAGAGCTGCTGGGCCATGTTGCATGTCACAGGAACCGCCTTGCCTTCCTGAGCCCCCAGGCTGCTTCAGCCAGCACTGAGGCTCAGGAGGGCCTGATCTTGGGAGTGGTCAGCACAGGAATATAGAAAGGAATGGTAGGCAAAGGCCAGGGAAAGAAGCAGGACAAAGCTCCACATGAACAGCATTTGCTGTGCACACGAGACAAGGACATCTGTTCCCATGAAGGACTCTGGCTTCTGGATAGCCTCTTTGCTGGGCCTGCCTCCTGAAGTAAACCTGCCTAGACTGACCATCTCCCTCCCCCATAGACACTGGCTTTTAGCAGAGTAACTTGACACTTTAAGGAAAAGCTGTTCCCCTTCACCTACCCCTCAGGCTCTGAGTTCTCCCAGACCCATGTCTCTGCCACCTAGAGGCTGGAGGTTACCTTTTCAATTGCCCAGTGTTGCCCTGGGAAATGAACTCCCTGTCTGAGTTTGCAAGACCTCAGAGCATGCCCAGCGTGTCTAGGGAGCCCCACTGGAGTGGGCAACAGTGTCAGGAGGGGCAGGGTTAGAAGAGGAGTCAGTATCCATGGAGCCAAGCTCTGCTCTTCCTGCTGCAGCACTAGTTGAGCCATTTCCTTTGTGTAGTGGCCCCAAGAAGTGTCAGTGTCTCGCTGAGCCTCACTGTGGGTCCAGAGAGGTGTGAGGACAGCAGAGTGAAGCTTCCAGAAGGCTCTTGGGAAACCTGGGGGTGGCATAGTGCTCAGGACATGGACTCTGGCCATGGCCTGGAGAGATCATCTCAGGCCCAGCGGAGACTTTCAAATCATAAATAGCAAAACTGACTCAGGTATCCAGTGGCCATGATACTCATTCTGGCCTCTGCTGTGACCGCCCCCAGCACCTGCTCCATCTGCTCCCCATGCAGTCCTGACTGCTGGCACCTCAGAGTGCCAGACAGCTGGAGCAGTGACTTACAGACCCACTTCTTCATTCAAGCTCCAGGAGTCTGTGGTGACAATACCTGGACCTTCTAAAGGGAAAGAACTCTCCTAGTCAGCATCAGATGGGGCTGTGGACACTCAGGCTCTCAATGAGGTGCCTAGTCCTTGAAAGTGGTCTCCCTAGGAACTTTGTCTCTCGTACCCAGCCAAAGTCAAACAGTGACAGGAGACCCCAGTAGGAACTGCCACCTGGGGTTATCTATACTCAAGAATACACCTTCCCTTTCCATTTTTGTTCCTCAGGTTCATCTCCAAAAAAGTTTTTTACCACCTGACAGTTGACCGGCCTGTGATCTATGATGGAAGCGATTTCCCATAACATTTGTGCCTGGACTTTGATGGCTCAACATCCATCAGGAAACACTACTACTCACCAGTCTTAATAACCATGCACATGCACATATGCACACATTTTTTTTTAATTAAAAAACAAAAGAAAGGCAGCTGTGTCCCAGCTCACCAGGTCTGCTGCTCTGGCAGAGGCCCCCGGCTGTGCCTCAGAAGCTGCTCTGCCTGGGTCTCTAGGGTACTTGGTACCACACACCTGTAACTCAGTTCCCAGGACTCCAGCGGTCTTTTCACCAAAAGGTTTATACTTGGGGGCTACCATCAGCCTTTTTCTGAGATCACAGTTGTGGAACAATCTCCTGTGGAGTTCCCAGGCCAGAGGAGGTCTTGTGTATGTCCCACCCCCAACAGCCAGGCTTCCTGGTGATGGGCCATTGCCTTGGCCACTCTGTGAGGCTTTGGATAGTCCCAGGAAAAGGAAGCACCAGGGCCATCACGTGAGTGGAAGGGTGCCTTCGTGATCTCCCAGATTCCTCTCTCTTATCCCTACTCCTTACTGCCCCTGTGTTGGCTACTCTCCCACTCAGCTGTTTGGGAGAGGTCTGTACTATGCTCTTGATTCTTGTACCCTCAGGGCCATTACTCATCAGGCTTCTAAGCAGCTCTAACCATCTGCCAAGAGCCCACTAGAGACAGTCCAGGAAAGAACAGCCACTACATTGAGGCCCTCCAGCTATGCATTTCGGTAGCTGGAGCACTGTAGTGAAACTTTGCATTGACCTTAGGGCTCATGAATCAGTGAGTCAGCCCAAGGCCAGTCCTTGTGTGTAGATACCAGAACTTGCAGACAGATGTTTACTACTGAGCAGAGTCAGGGTAAGACCTGCTTTCAAAATCTGGAGCCTTCCTAACAAGTCTTTGATAATTTAAGAACCAAAGTAGTAGAAGAAGCCGGCATAGCTTATTCTTGGCCCCTACCTCCCAGTCATCACCTCTCATTGAGCACTACTCTTCTTCCCCCAGTGGCTCAGCTCCCTCTAACTGTCACATGTTAGTTCTCTTGCCAGTGGCCTTGTTCACCAGCACCACCAAAGCTGGTACTGGACTTCAGCCTTGTCCCAGTGGGATTCAACCAGGCTGGTCCAAGAACAAGCAAGAAAGTTCTTGAGCAGGAATCTGGAATTGAAAATCTCTGCAGGGTTTGGGAAGAAGAAAAGAACCATGTGATAAAAATTAAGGAGGTGGTGTTTCCAAACATTTTCAGTTGTCACCCAGGCGACCAAGCCACTCCTGGCCCAAGCAGAAGGAACTCCTCCCCCTTTGAGGCTAAAGTCTGCAGATATGGTTAGATGTCCATGGAGTTTTGTTTTTAAAGTCAGACTCAGTGGTTCTGCCTGTGGCAATTCTTTAGTGGGAAAAAACATTCTTGGCTCAAAGGTTTCAGTAGAGGTAGAGGAGCCATCTGCGGTGCTTGGAACCAGGAGCTGCTGTGCAAAGGCCATGCGGGGCTGCGCTTGTTTACAGAAGCAAACACTACTCGGTGGGACCTTGGTGCATTCTTCCTCATCTCACTTTAGTTCGAAGAAAACAGGAAAGAGTGAATTCATAAATTCCTTTACCCTCTTAAGCACTTTTTAAATTTCAAGAGAGCGCTCTGATTGGGGGCATTTTCAGAGCCTTCGGATGTGTTTGGTCTAGAGACACTGCTTTTGGTGGCTGCAGTGGCACCAAGCTGCCATGGGAAGGCATAATGATTGTCATGCACTTTAACTCACTAATCCTCACTTCATGTGGCCTTATGGGATGGTGGGTCTGGGAACCCATTCCGTTCTTACCTGCCAAAGAGTTACCCAGAAGCACATCAGAACACCAGCACCTCATCTGCACAAAGGGGTGAGACTTTGGCATCCCCAAACATACTTCTTTATAGTGTCTGCTGTACCATTTGGAAATGGTTCTTGACCTCAGGTTTTAAATAAAGTGAACACTATAACATTTGGAGTACCATTGCCTTTCATTCCTCTTACAAGTCATAAGATTTATGATGTAACTACCCAGCAGGAAGCAGAGCATCCCAGGGGGCCCTGAAGACAGGTGTGGACAGCAGATGTGGCTCTGACGGTGGTGTCAAGACCTGCCCAAGCCTGTGTGTTCTTCTACCAACCCTCTCAGCTGAACTGCCCATTCACTTGGTCCCAGCTCTCCAGTGGCATCACATAATTCTCAAAGAACAGAGAGGCCAGGGCCTTGTGGGCTTTGAGCCCATAGCATGTGGCACTGGCAGAGGAAGAGGACAGCATGCTCACCACAGTGTATGCTGTGCTGCCCAGCAACTAGGAGCCTGGAGCTAGGCCCAATGAGAGCTGGTCACTCCTGCACTGTTCCAGTTGAGCTGTGGCTCAGTACCTCAGCCCACACAAGACGGCCAAGGGCTCCATCCTTGAGTGTACCATGCCTCAACACCTAACACACATCCCAGGTTTTCTTATGATAGCTGTTTAGATCACTCACATTTTCTGTTACTCTAGTTCTCCCTTGAGGGCAAAGAACTCTGTCACATTCATCTTACCACCCCTTCCCACATGAAGGAACAAGCCCAATCCAAAAGTTCCAAAATGATACTGGATCAGCAAAGACCCTTGTCAGTCCCAATGCTTTGGAGTCAGCAAAAAGGTCTTCAACAGTCCCACTGGCCAGCTAACCACAGGAGACAGTTCCCCAAGAGAGGCTTTCAGAAGAGTTGTGAGGAGAGTGGGTATGGCCTGGTCACTTAGTCCTCTGTGTGATTATCTAGACAGGGTTTCACTTTGTAGCCAAGACTGGCCTCAAACTCCCAAGCCTACCTTCAGCTCCCAGGGGTTGCAGTGTGTTCACCACACCTGGCTTCGCTGAATACTCATGTTGAAGATGCCCTCAAATCATGCCTCTAACTGTAAAGACTGGGTGAAATAGAAAGCCCCAAATGTAACAGCAGTGGGATTTCTTGGCTAATGCAGCAGTGAGTCTGGCTGGGCTAGGGGCTGGAACAAGGACCAACAGACACACACAGTCCTATGTGCTGTATCTGGGGACCTTCAGGTCAGAATGCCCATCCCACCTCACCCCACCCACTACACTGCTAAGTAACCATGATGGCCAGAGTGTCACTCAGATGACAGCCTGGTTCAGCGTCTGGGACTGCATCATATAGAGGCACCCTACTTCTCCAGCCTTTGCCTAGGTGATACTGAGGACCTGGGTGACTCAGAAGGGCACTAGCTGCAGGGTAAGCCCTTTCAATTTGAAGGTGCGTGGGAAAAGTTTCTCACCACCCACACACATCTGAAAGGCAAATAGATGAAACTTTGTCACCCAAGTTGAGAAAACATTTTTTTGAGGCAGCCATTGAAGCTGTCAAGAGGCAGCAGGGAAATCATAGCTGTTATAAGATGTTCAGAGTGGACTAGAATTAAGAAAGGGCAGCCTTTGAATTTCCCTACACCCACAGGTTCTGGCAGCATGATGAAGCCAGCAAAGTGGGATCAGTGCCCTCAAGGGCTTCCTGCTGGAGCATGGACTGATGCAATCAACATCCTGACACCTGACATGTCTGCACAGTGGTTATCTCAGAGCTCACCTGATGCCTGGGTAAATGGCCTTAGCTGAAAAATACACTAGAAAGACAGGCCTCTCCAGGTCTGGACTCTTGTGAATTTATCCAGAGGAAAGATTCATTTCCAAACCAGTTTAACTTCATGCTGTGCATGCACAGAGTCAGAGGTGGCTTTGTAAGAGCTCCCAGCTCCCTGCTCCTCAGGTAGGTGGCCGACACAGAGGAGAGAAGGAAACCATTCCCCAGAGACTGAATCCCATTCAGATCAGTGGGGCAGGCACTGTATTCAGCCAACCTGAGAAAGGACAGCTGAGAAGGGTGGGGATGGAGGAACTGACAGTGATGGGAGGGGAAAAGGGATCCACAGGAGCTCACCCCTGGATTGAATCCAAATAAGTTATCAGAAGCCATCTTTGTCATCAAAGGAAAGGAGCAGAGGGAAAATGACCTGTCCCCATGGCTGAAACACAGGGATACTGGTAAGTCTGGATGACTTTCAGAACATGATGCTGCTGCCCACGCTGACATGGCCAGTAGGAGGGATTTTGCTAACTCTTCTCATTTCACATGAAATCAATTATCTGATTAAATGTCTTCTATCCACTAGAGTTGGCTGTTGGCCTTCAGACCCTTTCTATGTATGATCTGATTCAAAACAATGCTGCATTGTTCTGTATTATTGGAGGCCAAGCAATTTCAAAACGAGTGGCTTAAGTCACTAGGTATTAGCTCATGACTATGCAGGCTGACCCAGTGTTGCTCTGGGTCACTAATATGTCTTCCCTGAGGCACTGAGTCTTCTGAGCTCTGTTCTTCATGTGTCCAGGTTGGCTGCATCAGTGTTGAGATGTTGCTCTCATGGGAGCTGACTAGACTAGGATGGCCTTAGAGATGCCTTGCTCTGCCCCACGTGGTCCCCAGAAGGATAGCCCATGCTAGTTCAGATGCCATGCGACAGGTTTCCAATGGAGCAGGTGGAAGTACATCTGCTTCTTGAAGCCTAGTCAGAACTTGCATGTCACTCCAACCACAACAAGCCTCACACTGAAAGCTCACTTTGTCAAGGGTTTGGGGACAGTGAAAGGTGGAGAATTATGACTATTTTTTACCAATTTATTCCACCAAAGAGTCAGATAACCATCCTTTGTTAAATGTGCTTCTGCTTGGGCCCGTCTTCCTTCATGAAAACAATTACCACCTTCTTCAAATGTGCTCATACATGTTCACGGGGATGCATGGCCACATTGTCTGAGAGCAAGAAGCAGGAAAGAACAACTGATGATGTATATGACTGTGCACTGGAGACTGTGTGACGGGGCACCAGCCACGCACCTGCAGAGCAGCTAGACAAAGGCCAGAAAAGCAGTTGCTGCCTCTGCAGTGGGGCTGGGGTCCATGGTACTTCAGAGATGGTGGCAGGGGCAATCCGTATTTTATAAAACTGATTTTTCAGGTTGTGCACTGCCCTCAGTGACTGCATTTTACCAGCAGCTTTTTGACTCCATTCTAAGGAAGAAGGATGACTGCAGCCCCTGCATGGACCTAGAAACTGCACCATCCTCACCACCCGCCCAGCACAGACTGATAAACACCCTATAAGTTTATCAGGGTGGGTTGAGACTGTAGGGGCATGTAGGCAAAGTAAAATCATATCCTGGAAACCAGGCCCAAGAACTTATCAGACATACCAGATCAAGATCAAGGAAAGGGTATAACTCCCTCACTTGGACCCCAGAAAGTGGTAGACAGCTAACACTGTGATGGCATGGCCCCACCTGGTGTGTGTATCAAGGACCAAAGACCACCCCCAAACTCAGGTTGGTCCCCCACTGTGGATACAGCCTACTGGGCTGCCTGCCCATCCACCTGTTTGCCCACCTGGACCTAGTCCTGACCTGACATTTTCTGTTTCTGATCCATTTACTGCTCTAGATCCCAAGTCAGCTTTTCACCTCACAGCTGAACTCTGGCTTTGTTCTCAAACCCGACCCCAGCAGCTCCAGCAGCCTCCTGACACTGGCCTGGTTCATTATCTTATCAATACAGACACTCTTAGTCTATTTCTGAACTTTCTTGAACTCTGCTGTGCCCTCTTTAATTTGAATTCAGTCTGTAACTGATACACACACACATATATATATATATATATATGTAGATAGATGTATTTACTGTGTGATGTTGATGTGAGAGTTAATATTAGTAATCAAGATTAGGATAAAAGAACATGCATTTGCCTTGGCCAAACTACCAAGGTAGGCAGATTATATGACAAATTGCTGTCACTGAAAACCACTAGACTGTGTGAATTCATTGTTAACAGATTCTGACGCTGTGGAAAGATAGGCACATGTTCTATGCCTGTCTGTTTCTGGCATAGTACGTTCATGCAGGCAAGGAACTTTTATTTTACTTTTTGTCATTCTATACCATTTAGATTCAACTTTTTTAGATGCTAGTTTAACTCTCTAAAAAGTAATTCAAGGGCTAGAGAGATGGCTCAGCAGTTAAGAGCACTGGCTGTTCTTCCAGAGGACCCGGGTTTGAATCCCAGTGCCCACATGGTGTTTAATAACCATCCAAAACTCCAGTTCCAGGAAATCCAATACCCTCTTCTGTCCTCCACGGGCACTGTGCTACATGGGTGTGCTTACACACATGTAGGCATAACACTCATACGCATAAAATAAAAATAAAGACAATAACAAAACTAGGCTTTGAATAA